GAGCTGCACTGATGAGATCTAACAAGATCGAAACGGTACTGTCTGCAGATTGGAATATTTACGCTCCTTACATTGTACTATTAAGGTAGTACATTGTTTTGTAGAGCACTCTTATTTTAAGATGGTGCATTGTTTATGTTTACTATTTTGCAATTTACATAGCACACTCATTATTGGGTTTGTGCACTCTTGTATTCATAATCAGTGTACCACGTCACACAAGACTGACCCAAGCTATGTTTGAGTCAGTGGTGTGTTTCATTCTTAGAAATCCTGAGCTGCACTGATGAGATCTAACAAGATCGAAACGGTACTGTCTGCAGATTGGAATATATAGATGTGTATAAGAGACAGGTCTTATACATTGTGATGTACGTTCCTGGCATGTTTGTGTGTGATGTTCTATTTATTATTATTCTGTAATTTTTGTATTCTCATTTAGGGACCACAGTGGAAATAAGTTGCTTTTTGTACTTTTCTGTGTTTTTATCCTTGAATGTTTTTACTTATAATTACTTCAGAATGAATAAATAAAAAAAAATATATATATATTGATGTTACTGATTTTTTTTTTCTGTTATGATGTTTCTTTGATAAGTGGTGGTTACACCAAAAGAGAAAAAAACCCCCTTTGTTGGTATATGGAAACAGAAATTTCGCCTTACCCGTTGCTAGAATAACGATTAGTATTCCACCTTCTTCTAATATTTCACGAAGATACATTAATGACCCTTCGTAATCCTCAAAGTAATAGAAGCAATTGATAGCAAATATCACGTCATACTTGTTAGTAATCCCAAATTCATCTCGATATTCACCCAAAGTCTGCTGTTTCCAATTATATGTCACTCCAATCACCTTGCTTGATTCTTTCGCTATCAACTTCTTGTATTTATCTAGGTGATCCTTTGCTGGTTCCACAACAGTGTGAGATATCTTTGCAAACTTTTTCTGAAGCTGTAACATATCTTTGAGCTCAATATCACCTTTAAAGAAAGAGTATGACCTTTAAATGTTGTTGTCATGTTTCTCTGATTAGGCTAACGTTCAGATCTCTCTTAAAATCACATATACATATTAATTCTTAACTTTCCTTAAAGCCATATCTTATTTTTTATCTAACAGGCGCTAAAATCGTCGCTCGTCTCACCAACCGGCAACAAGTTTGTCTAATGTATCTTTCAAGTAATATTTTGTCAAAATATAAATCATTTAATAATTATTTGTAATAATTATAACTGACTGAATAATGATAATAATAATAATACTAGAAATTGCAAATTGCAAGTGAAGTGCTGAAGTGCATATAAATGTTCTTCGAACAAAATTATTTATGCGAGTCAAGTGAAAATAATGAATAATAAAAATATAACAAATAATATGAGACACGACCTGTTGTCTATATTAGAACACTTCTCATTGGGTAAAAAAAGTCGTAATTTTTCATTTTTGTCAAAAAGTGTCTATAGTGGTGAATTATGGTTTAGGTTTTTTTTAATAAAGTTTCAAAAATTTCTATGTATGTGGAAAATGTAGTTGATTACCAAAGGTTACAATTTTTATTTTGAAGACTGCATGGTCTAGGAAGTGTACATT